CCATCTGGGATCGTTCTCTCAAACTATTTTTCAGAGCCTTTTCTAAAAATAAAATAAGCTAGTTTTGTGGCCAAATATTCTATTTTTGTTTCGATCACAGAATAATTCAGAGTCAATACACTTAGATACAAGATTGTCTGCTTTTTGGTGACAGGAAAAAGTCAGTGGATGTACTGCCAGCTTCCTGCAGGTTATACCTGGACAGCTATTTTTATATGCATTGCCAGAAAGGAAGTATACTGGAGTTGAAAATAATGAGACTAAGGCAAGCAGGCTGAAAGGAATCAACCAAAAGAGGAGCTGTTTTCTGAATCTTTACACTTACCAAGACTTTATATAGACAGGAATTGAGCTTCAATAAATGCTAAGTTGAAATTAATGGAAGAGAATGATCTAATAAGCAGTCACAGAAAAAGCAGTAATGATTTGTGTGTTTAAAAAAAGAAGCAGGGAAGGAAAACACAATAAGCATATACTTTATCTGCCAAGCCACTGGATAGCTAGAGATTGATCGTGGAGCGATTCATGGAGCAAGAAGAACAAAAGCCCATGCTTTATGTAGTGCTCTGAAGAGAAGAGCAGAAAGAAGTTTCCAAAGAGTGTGCTTCATTAAATAAAAACTTAAGCTGAAGTAACAGTACTACTGTCTTATGTTACTTTCAGGAAGAAACACATTCTGCAAGCAAGGGCATGACAAAATACCATAGCTAAAACTATACAGTAAAAGAAGGCAAAAGGGTTGAGTGTTCTAAAGCTGACCTGCAAAGGACTGCTTACCTATGGAGGCCTGATGATTGGAGCATGATGATTTTTTTTTTAAACGAAGGATGAAAGGATAAAAGACCCCCAAAACCAAGAAAAAAAACCTTCCAGAATGCACCTGTGGTCAAGGACTTCTATTTGATATTGGGTATTAGGTCACAAATTTAAACCAAAGGTATAACATTTTTCCTCAGTAGTCACTGTGCTTCAGCAGATGTCTTACTTGCTCAACTGTTTTGTCTTGTCTGTAAAGTTATTTCAGAAAAGGTACTTAGAAAAAAAAAAAAACCAAAACCAAATGAGAACAGATAACAGAAGAAAAAAGGCAATTTCTGCAGATTTCTTCAAAGCGGGCAAAAGACTGGCCCATCTTCCTTTCACCTCTACAAAAATGTGTGCATGTTGCTGAAGCTGTAGCTCAAAGCACTACTGCACTGTCAAGCCTCTGACAGTATTCAGTGATGAATTTCTTTCTGCATTGCTGCTTTTACCTGTACTGAGCAAAAATACATGAAACGATGAAAAGTCAGTACACACTCTAGGCTGTCAAGTATGACAGACTGAAACTACAGAATGGTATATGCCAGTGGCAGATTAATGTGGGTGACTCATTTTTAAAGAAAAAAAAGTAAATGACACTTTTTTTTGGGCAGAAAACACAGTAGTGGCGAACAGGAACCTAGTACGCTACCATCACCACCTCTTCTTTCTGCAGCAGATGACCGTAATCAGGTAAGCTGAAAATGGCTTTGCTTAGTAATTTTTCCTGTTTGCATTTTGGGGTGGTTACACTAGGAAAACAACTAGAATAGCATCTCTATCTCCAGATTGCTTACCTCAGCTAAAACCCAAACCATGTGCACTCAAGTAGTACTAGATGCTTTTATTAAAGTTACCAAGTTTAAATATTAAAATTGGAAATCACTTATCTTTTTCCCTTGTAGCAGAAAGAGTGGGGCTACTATGTGTCAAGCAAATGTGCTGAAGTAAATAGAAAGGTTTTTCAATAGGCAGGTATTTTAAGCATTGAGAGTGCTATATAGATGCATCAATTCTGCTGTCAAACTTAAGACAGTTTCAGAAGATTAATTTAAGGAGGGGATAAGGTGATGTGTTAAGTATTGTCTCAAAAAAGAAGTGTTTTGGTATTAAAACATCTCTCCCCCCCACCCCCACCCCAAACAATTTTGTTTTCTCAGGATAATAAAACCAAAACCTGGCCTCCAAAGGCACCCTGGCAGCACACATCCTCTGTCACGAACACGCTACCCAGTCAGAGTACATCTTTGTATCCTATGAGCAGCCCTGTCAGCCAGTGGAGTGACACGATGCAGATCCTCCAGTCGCCCATGTGGGCAGCAGCCAC